TGAGACCAATGAACTTGTCCGCCTATGCAATGAGAGACAGCAACTTGAGAGTTCTCTCGAAATATCCTATATCCAATAAATCTTGTCGTTTTGTCCATCTTGAAATTATTGTAAGGGTGGAGATCCGAGGCAGAAGGGCTTCCGAATATTACCGAACGAAACGTGCGTGTTCACGTTGCGCACAGTATTGAACCCTTGTTATAATATCAGGGTTTTGGAAAAATGCTATTGTCGCTCGCATCAGCTTCCAGCCGATATATGTCCTTCGGGATTACTCACCCACCAACCTGGGGTCCAAAGACGAATCTGGAGAAATTTACTTGATAAAGACTATATATTACATTTTTATAAGTTATACATGCTAATTTGCTCTTAAAGTGTACTGAGCTTATTTAATTTCGTAGATTCCAAGAAAATACCTAGGCTACGCACATGATCAGTAGTTGGGCAGGTGATATTCGCTGATGTGGGCAATATATCTACACTAGGAAGTGGAGACGCTGTTACACCGGATTTATGTGCCCAGGCCTTCCGAATAGTCTTGTTTTATTGATGTTTTAATAAAGCTTACAAAGATTCCTACTCAGTCTATCATAACTTAATTTTACGCTTTCAATGTTCGCATTTTACTGGGAATATTAGCAAACGGATGCTGCCGAACCGGCATCTTATCGGTTTCTTTTCATTGAGCCCAATGAAATTAAATCTTCTACAGACAGTTGCGAAAAGATGTAACCTACTGGAGAGTTGGCGTTAACACATTATTCTACCACTTATTTGGAACCCGAAATAGTAAATCGTGTTTTAATTCCCTATTTTCCCCGCGATCATTCGTAATTCTTAGTTCATTGATGCTTAGTTAAATACATTGGTTGAAGTAGTATGGTCGATATTGATTTGGAAACAATCAGAAACGTCGTGCAAACATGCATGAAAGTGGTAGGTCGAATGTCTTATCCGTTTTTATAAAAAAATAGCATCGACACAGCTCCGCATTATACTGGGCTGACAAGGCTGTGTGCCTCTCGAAAGGTTATTCGATTTTACCTTCGAAACTGTGACTCTAGGTGCTATAAGTGATGTGATTACTTTGGCGGAAACCATGTACTTTTGTGGACAGTATCACAGGGCTATTGCCGTTCTGTCGAACCACGAGAACGTTAGGGTATTTCGAAGTACTTAGCTCGTC